GCGGCGCGGCGGAGCGCGGGGCCGGGCGCCGCGCCGCCTCCGTACCCGCGGATCATGGAGCTGCAGATCCCGGGCGGCCGCCGACTGCCGCCCGCGCCGCACTTTTGCGGGGATTATACTTTAAATTTCCCCAGCTCGCGCACATACACATGGCAAAGCGAGTTTATACGAGGCTGCCGATACACGTGATGCGGAGACTTTGCCAAGAGGAACAATATTTTCTCCCCTTGTATTATCCGGTCCGTTTTTTGTATCCTGCTTTGTTTTGGTTTGTTTGTGACCCCCCCCTCCCCTCCCCTCCCCGTGCCTACAGCTAAATTTCCAACCCGAGGTTTTCGATTTACAGAGCGCGTTGCCGCAAACTTTGCAAAATCGGCCCTTTGATTCGCTTTACGCTCAAGTTTCTGGGGACGATGCCAGCGGCCCCCTCCCCCCTCGGCACGTTATACTTTTATTTTACATTTTGCTATTGCAGGCCCGACGCACCGCACAAAAACTAGTTCGACTTCATTTTCCGGTAGGAAATAAAGCACCGAGTTCATCACGCTTCGCGTTTGCACCTTAGTGTGCATCTCACACGTGTAATTACACCGTGTATACATTATGTATATTTATACACACGAGCAATTCTGTGTGCGCACACGCGGTGTGCTATTTGCATTTACACATCGAATAACTTGCACCTCTTTTTAAGTAACACATTGGGATCGACAATTTAAAAAAAAAAAAAAAAAAACCACAGACAAGTTACTCTAACAGCAAATTGTAACTTTACCTTAAATGGCCACAAATATGTTCACAATATTCCAAGGGGGAAAAAAAAAAAGAACAAAAATAAAAAACAAAAATAAAAAAGGAGAGGAATCTTCTGCCAAAGTGCTTTATTATCTCACACGTGTGTGACCCTCCAAAACCACGAAAAAGTACTGTACGTGTCAGTCCTGCTCCGGGGTACTCCACAGCTTTACAGGCACCCTACACCTGGCTTTGTTGGGATTTGGGGTTCCCGACCACCAAACGCCCGCCACCAGCTCCCCCACCCAGACAGCAGAGACGCCAGCCAGCCGGAAAAAAAAAGGAAAAAAAAAAAGGAAGAAGAAAAAAAAAAAGGCAAAAAGAAAGGAAAAAAAGAAGGTCCGACAACTTTTCCCTCTATTGTTTTTACAAACACATGGTGACTGACAAACTGCGAGCGCCGTGGCGGCTGGGGGACTTTCCCCCCTGTCCTTCCTTAAAAAA